AAGAAAAACTATAAAGAACCTCAAGACATACACCATATAGACACTAATCTGTTCAATACTGATAACACTAACAGGGGTTCTCAAATGTTCCTAGCATGGACTACTTTGAGAGAATCTCATGGACGCTGTTTTCCAATATCCCAGTCCTGATCTCATTTGTAATCACTAACTGTCCTTGTAGTAATTGCAATTGTTTATATGGAAATGTAACATTAGGAAAGTATTTAGATATTGTTTACTGTGTTTTCTATATTTGTTATTTTGTCCTTCTATTGGAGGGAAGTCATACTTCCCCCCTAGCTACTTGCAACTATTTCTCCACTCCCTTGAAATTCTGGCCTGCCACATCCATAAGAACATAAGAATGGCCGTACTGTGTTAGACCAAAGGTCCATCTAGCCCAGTATCCTGTCTACCGACAGTGGCCAATGCCAGGTGCCTCAGAGGGAGTGAACCCAACAGGCAATGATCAAGTGATCTCTCTCCTGGCATCCATCTCCACCCTCTGACAAACAGAGGCTAGGGACACCCTTCCTTACCCATCCTAGCTAATATCCATTAATGGACATAACCTCCATGAATTTATCCAGTTCTCTTTTAAACGCTGTTATAGTCCTAGCCTTCACAACCTCCTCAGGCAAGGAGTTCCACAAGAAGAACTTCCTTTTATTTGTTTTAAACCAGTGCCCATTCATTTCATTTGGTGGCCCCTAGTTCTTGTATTATGGGAACAAGTAAATAACTTTTCCTTATTTACTTTCTCTACATCACTCATGATTTTATATACCTCTATCATATCCCCCCTTAGTCTCCTCTTTTCCAAGCTGAAAAGTCCTAGCCTCTTTAATCTCTCCTCATATGGGACCCGTTCCAAACCCCTAATCATTTTAGTTGCTCTTCTCTGAACCTTTTCTAATGCCAGTATATCTTTTTTGAGATGAGGAGACCACACCTGTACGCAGTATTCAAGATGTGGGCATACCATGGATTTATATAAGGGCAATAAGATACTCACCGTCTTATTTTCTATCCCCTTTTTAATGATTCCTAACATCCTGTTTGCTTTTTTGACCGCCGCTGCACACTGCGTGGACGTCTTTAGAGAACTATCCACGATGACGCCAAGATCTTTTTCCTGATTCATTGTAGCTAAATTAGCTCCCATCATATTGTATGTATAGTTGGAGTTATTTCTTCCAATGTGCATTCCTTTACATTTATCCACATGAAATTTCATTTGCCATTTTGTTGCCCAATCACTTAGTTTTGTGAGATCTTTTTGAAGTTCTTCAGTCTGCTTTGGTCTTAACTACCTTGAGCAATTTAGTATCATCTGCAAACTTTGCCACTTCACTGTTTACCCCTTTTTCCAGATCATTTATGAATAAGTTGAATAGGATTGGTCCTAGGACTGACCCTCAGGGGACACCACTTGTTATGCCTCTCCATTCTGAGAATTTACCATTTATTCCTGCCCTTTGTTCTCAGTCCTTTAACCAGTTCTCAATCCATGAAAGGACCTTCCCTCTTATCCCATGACAACTTTATTTATGTAAGAGCCTTTGGTGAGGGACCTTGTCAAAGGCTTTCTGGAAATCTAAGTACACTATGTCCACTGGATCCCCCTTGTCCACATGTTTGTTGACTCCTTCAAAGAACTCTAATAGATTAGTAAGACACGATTTCCCTTTACAGAAACCATGTTGACTTTCGCCCAACAATTTATGTTCTTCTGACAATTTTATTTTTTACTATTGTTTCAACTAATTTGCCCGGTACTGACATTAGACTTACCGGTCTGTAATTGCTGGGATCACCTCTAGAGCCCTTTTTAAATACTGGCGTTACATTAGTTATCTTCCCGTCATTGGGTACAGATGTCGATTTAAAGAACAGGTTACAAACCAGAGTTAATAGTTCTGCAACTTCACATTTGAGTTCTTTCAGAACTCTGGGGGGAATGCCATCTGGTCCCGGTGACTTGTTACTGTTAAGTTTATCAATTAATTCCAAAATCACCTCTAGTGACACCTCAATCTGTGACAATTCCTCCGATTTGTCACCTACAAAAGCCGGCTCAGGTTTGGGAATCTCCCTAACATCCTCAGCCATGAAGACAGAAGCAAAGAATCCATTTATTTTCTCCGCAATGACTATCGTCTTTAAGCGCTCCTTTTGTATCTCGATCGTCCAGGGGCCCCACTGGTTGTTTAGCAGGCTTCCTGCTTCTGATGTACTTAAACATTTTGTTATTACCTTTTGAGTTTTTGGCTAGCCATTCTTCAAACTCCTTATTGGCTTTTCTTATTACATTTTTACACTTAATTTGGCAGTGTTTATGTTCCTTTCTATTTACCTCACTAGGAGGTCTCACCTCCAGACCTATGTGCAGGAAGAAGGGGACTACCACAAGAGAGCTATGTAGTGGTAGAGATTGCTCCTGTCTCACTGACAGCTCCTGAGACAATTGGTAGCTCCATTCTCACTGGTAGATGACAGTTCCTGTCTCCGAGGCCTTGTCTACACTACAGAAGTTCATACCCACTATCCAGCACTGATACAGTTGCATTGGTGATAGCAGTGCCAGCACCAGAGTAGATAAGGTCTGACATTTTCATTCCCATGTTGTGAAACCCTACTCTGAGACTATGCTGAAAATGCCTAAGCATAGTCTATGCTAGAGCTTACATCACTGATATTAAAGATGTAATGTAGATGAATATAGAACAGCTCCCATTTCCTCTTCTATGCAGGAGCCGCTTCTACTGGAGGCAATTATGGTGGCTCTGCCTTGTTGCTGCTTCTACAGATGTCCAAGGCCTTCAGATCTGAAAACAATGCGCAAACAGCATAGAACCTCCTCTATTGAAACCACCAGCAGGCTACACCACAGTTTGAGAACTGCAGAACTACAAAATTACATAATAATGCGCTAACAGAGGGAATCAAGTTACACTGAGGGAGGGGATTATCAGGCTGAAGCAGCATTAGACACTAATAGTTTCTAGAAATAATGACAACTCAGAAGAGAAACAATCCTAGCAATTCCAACTTCCAGATCCAATCTAGAAACAAGCCATTTAAACAAATAATATTAAATACTATGAGAAAATCCTTCCTCCCTGTTCCTGAGTTACTGATCACTCAGAAGAAAATGATCTTGAATGCTTATGAACCAATGTTCTAACAGATAAAGTACAAGATACAGTATTAGTTAGTGTCTGCTACAGACCACCAAGTCACAACAGGGAAAAGGATAACCTCCTCCTTATGCAGCTATCCATAATACATAGGAGAAAAGGTATGTGATTATGGGAGGGCTTCAATTTAAATGATACATGTTGGAGGTCTCATGCTGCCGGTACTAAAAATTTTTCAGAATTTCTAAACATTACAGATTACAATTTCCCAACTAACAAAATTGTACTGTCAACATGGGAAATTTTTTTATTAGTGTAGAACTTGTCCTAACAAGGAGCTGATCATAGAACTAAAAATTAATATTAGCTTAGGTACAAGTGATCATGACTTGGTCATATTTATAACATGCAAGCAGAATGAGTCCAACCCAGTAATATATATTATATTTATTGCTTTAATGGGGCCAATTACACAAAGCTGAGAACAGTCATGAGCCAGTTAGCTAGAAGGAAGAACTGACTCTGAACAATGTGAATGATAATTGGATATCATTTAAAGACACCTTACCAGATTCTCAAAAAGCCACAATTCAGGAAGAAGACTTTTTTATTTTATTTTATTATTATTAAATCAGCACAATCTGGCTTAGAGGGGAAGTGAAGACAGCTACAAAAAAATTAAAAATAATATATACCAAATGAAAGAAAGGGAAAGCTCATTTTAAGAAATATAAACCAGAAGTTAGAAATTATAGAAAACTGATTAGGGAAGCCAAGGGACACAAGAAGAAATCTATGGCCAGCAAAGTTAAGGACAATAAGGAGGATTTTTTTTAAAATATATTAGGAACAAGAGAAACCTGACAATAATATGGGACCATAACAACACTACATTATCAATAATAATGCAAAAAAGTCAGAAGTGCTCAGTAAATATTTCTGTTTTGTATTTGAAGGAAAAGATGATGTAGTGTCATCATGCAATAAAAATACTCTTCATCCTACTAGTACCTCTGGAGGATATTAAACAAAAGCTAATAAAGACAGACATTTTTAAAATCAGCAAGTCCAGAAAACTTGCATCCAAGAATTTTAAGAGAGCTAGCTGAGGAAGTCATTGGAAGATTAATGATGATTTTCAATCAGACTTGGAGCACCGGGGAAGTTCCAGAAGACTGGAAGAAAGCTAATATTGTGTCAATTTTTATAAAGGGTAAATGGGATGACCTTAGTAATTATAGGCCCGTCAGCCTGACATCAATCCCAGCAAGATAATAGGACTCAGTTAATAAGAATTTAAGGAGAGTAGTAGAATTAATGTAAATCAACATGAGTTTATGGAAAAATAGATCTTGTCAAACTAACTTGATAATTTTTTTGATGAGATTATAAATTTGGTTGATAAAGGTAAAAGTGCTGACATAATATACTCAAACTTTTGTAAGGTATTTGACTTGGTACTGCACCGTATTTTGATTTAAAAACCAGAATGATATACAATTAACATAGCACACATTAAATGGATTAAAAACTGCATAACCGATAGGTCTCAAAAAGTAATTCTAAACAGGGAATCATCACTGAGTGGGTGTGTTTTCAGTGGCATCCCACAGGGGTCATTTTTTGGCCCTACAATATTTAACATTTTATCAATGACCTGGAAGATAAAACTCAAAATCATCACTGATAAAGTTTGAAGATGACACACAAGTTGGAGTGGTAAATAATGAGGAGGACAAGTCACTGATTCAGAGCGATATAGATCGCTTAGTAAACGGGGCACAAGCAAACAATAAGCATTTTAATACGACTAAATGCAAGTGTATGCATATAGGGACAAAGAATGTAGGCCATACTTACAGAATAGGAGAATCTATCCTGGGAAGTACTCTGAGAAAGAGTTGGGGGTCATGCTGGATAATATGCTGAACATGAGCTCCCAATATGATGCTGTAGCCAAAAGAAGTAATGTCATCCTGGGAAGCATGAACAGGGGAATCTGGAGTAGGAGTACAAAGGTTATTTTACCTCTGTGGGCACTAGTACAACCACAGCTGAAATACCGTGTCCAGTTCTCATGCCCATAATTCAAGAAGGATGTTGATAAATTGGAGAGGGTTCAGAGATGAGCCATGAGAATGATTAAGGATTAAAAAATATGCCTTATAGTGATTGAGCTCCTTGAGCCTATCTATTTATCTTAACAAAGAGAAAGACAGCAGGTAACTTAACTACAGACTATAATTATCTACATGAGGAATAAATATATAATAATGGGCTCTTCAGCCTAGCAGAGAAAGATATAATGCAATCCAATGGCTGGTAGTTGCAGCTAGACAAATTCAGACTGGAAATAAGGTGTAAATTTGACAGTTAGGGTAATTAACCACTGGAACAAATTACCTAGGTTCATGTTCAATTCTCCATCACTGATAACTTTTCAATCAAGATTGGATGTTTTTCTAAAAGATATATTCTAGGAATTATTTGAGAAATGATCTGTGGCCTATGTTATACAGGAGGTCAAATTAGATGATCAGAATGGTCCCTTCTGGCCTTGGAGCCTATGAAACCTGTCCTCAGACATTTCTATTGCAATCTATTAATTCAAATAAAATCCACAGAAAATTAGATCCAACAAGTCCCAAATAATATATTAAAGGAGAAATTCAAACTTCTAGGTGTGCACAGTAATAAGACTTATAGGAGCTGTTTCAACCTAGTTCTGGAGTCCATTTACCAGAGACAGAATCATATGAGCTAACCACCATGCTGGGACTGCTTCAGCCCTCAAAAAACAGATTCTTCTGTATTAGAAGGAACATCAGTAAGATATTCAAGTTACTTGATTATCATCAAAAGACTAGCCAATATCATTGGACTACACAAAACCCAAAACAGATGTTCCCCATCTTTGCACTACAGAATGGTAATCAACATATATAAAAAAAAAAGAAGAAATTAGGAAGTGCATTTCAAATTAGGAAGTGCATCTCTTTCCCCCAAAAAACCTTTGATTCAATCTATGCAGTGTTGTTGTAGCTGTGTTGGTCCAAGGATATCAGAGATACAAGGTGGGTGAGGGAATATATTTTATTGGACCAGTGCCAGTTGGTGAAAGAGACAAGCTTTTGAGCTTACACAGAGCTTTTCTTCAATGTGACATCCTGGATGGAACTTTGGGCTTCTGCAAAATGGAAATGATGGTGGATTAATTAGCATATGTACCAATCCATTCTCTGTGAAACAAAAAACTACATGTTCAAACAGATGCCTTCAAGTGACAAGATAACAGAAAGGACCACAGTATCAATCCAGACATGTTCAACCTACACATACAAACTGTGCTCTTACCCAGAGCTTTCACTAAAAACCTTCAAGAAAAAAAAAAAAGTCAGTTGGTATACAAATGATCTTGTCATAATCTGGCCAAATCTTGCCTTAGACTTAGTAAAGCACAAGGCCCCTACAAGGCAATCTAGAGAGAAAAAATGCCATGTTTTCCAGGTAAAACTCCAACTAAAAAAGCCTCCAAACCATGCATTACTCATAAATTTGCTTCAAAATGAAAGCATCAAGGAACTACAGTACACCATGAACCTGCTATGTCCTGAAACGTCAGTGTATGCCTACATTCCCCCCTTAAGAACACAAACACCACAACAAGATAATGGATACTCCTGGGGAAATTTTGCACCATTGCGCATGTGCAGAATTCATGTGTCCTGCAGAATTCTTATTTTTCCTGCAGAAAATACATTCTGCCCAAAAAGTGCTGCAGTTCCTTTCCACCTTTTGCCCACCAGAAGTTGCTGTGGCATTGGAACAGCCAGCAGCATGAACCCAGCCAGCTATTCTGACACCACAGCGGCCTCTAGTTGGCAAAAGGAAGAACGGCAACGCTTCTGGGGCAGAATGTATTTTCTGTGGGGGAAAAAAAGTTCTGTGCATGCACAGTGGCGCAGAATTTTCCCAAGAATAGAAGTTCATCACAGCACCCTCCCCACGGAGCCACATTAGGACAGACAGAGTGGGGCACCCAAGGCTGCTGGGGGAGGTCACAGACTGGGGTTCAGAATGGCTAGTGCGGGGACACACTGGGGTGTGGGCTCAGGAGCCTGTGAGGTGACAGCATTGAGCCAGGGGCTGAATGAGAGTGGGGGTGCAAGGCCACATGGGGAGGGAGGCTGCAGAGACCCATGAGGGTGTGGGGACAGGGACCCATGTGCCTGACTGAATGGGAGAGGCTTGGGGTCAGCCAGGGTCTGCATGGGGGAGGCTTCCCAACTCCCTCACAATCCCACCTCTCCCTCCCTCCAAAAAACCCTGTTCCATACTTCTCCCACCCACACCCAACAACCCTCCAGGCTCCTTCCCCCTCTCTCAGCTCCTCCATTACCCCTGACTCCCCCAAGCCTTTGCACTGCTTCCGACAGGTGGAGGAAAGACAGTTATGTATTGTAATTTAAATTAATTACTCAAAGTTCTGTATTAATGTGCTAGTAAGGAATCTATTTGACACACAAAAAAAAAAAAGTTACCAGAATCTTTTTTTATTTGGTCTGTATTGTTACAGGCATACTTACTGAGAGATATTTTGAAATAAATTACCAAAATAATTGAAACTGGCATGATTATATTGTGTTATTTTGACAAATAAAATATGCAGAATTTTAAAATATGGTGCGCAGAATTTTTAATTTTTTGGCACAGAATTTTTAAATTTTTGACGCAGAATTCCCCCAGGAGTAAATGGCGTAGGAAGGTTTATGAATTCAAAATCTAAGGCCCAATTACGACTCATTAATTGACAAGTCACCACAGAGCACTAGAGAACTAAACCCAGGAATCTGATAAACACACTCCACAACCTATACAATCAATCATTATCAAACCACATCAATATTGTCCTCGAGATCAAAGTAGGAATACATTCACAAACTGGGCCAATTTTTATTACCACAATAAAGGGCCACAACAAACAGGACTGCTGATAGACCATTCTACCCAGAACTACTATACTAGCAAAATTGTATCGTAGACCAGTGGTTCTCAAACTTATTTTTCCCCGCAGACCACTTAAAAATTGCTGACGGTCTCGGCTGACCACTTACTGATCTTTCCAAACGTTGTTTGTACCGTTAGTTAACTATTGTAAAGCGCTTTGTATAAATGCTCTATATTAAAAAAAAAACCCTTAATAAACTGTTTTTGATTTACAAATAAAAGCGCACAACACATATTTTAATATCAGTATTCTTACCTTTCTAATGCAATGGAAGTGTTGTGATTTTGAATATTATTACATGAATTAGCAAATGAATGATCAAACTTTATGTATGCAGCTGAAAGGGAGTTTCTGAATGTAGTCGTTAAAATGGTTTTAAAGAAGGCCACTGGCACTTTGCATCATGCCCAACACAAACAAATTACATTAAAAGCTATTATTACAGGATATTCAGATATGCATATAAATGTGACTGATAGGAGAGGACTAACCAGTTTGAGGTTATTTGTACATCAGCAAAAAAGGATTTCTATTTTAAGGTGGAAATTTTCATTCTAGTCTAAATGATTTGCACTGTGTAGTCCAGATACTTTGGAGATGTATTTTTAAACAACATGGTTTTTTGGCCTGAGAAAAGCAGAGCATATAAAGCAGTGTTATGAAGACATTCTAAACCTCAGCACACTGACAATAAAGAATCTCCCCAGCACTATGACAATTACAACTACTCTGACCACCATTTGAGTGTCAATGTTTGCCAATGGTTACTATGCAATGGTATCCAACTAATCCAACATTACTATAGTTTCCCCCTATGTATTACCTTTATTTTTTTCTTTTGACTAACAAGTACTCACTTTTTAATGGCTTCTAACGTATGGATTTTTTTTTTTTTAAATTGAGGGTGGAAGGAAACAAGAATTCAAGAGTTACTACATAAAGGATACAAGAGGGCAGCATAAAAGGAAATTAAAAAGGGGGTGAACTAAAATATGAAGTACTCAGAAGGGAAAGGAATTAATAAGGAATCCTGAAACACTTAGATATAGTTAGCTGCATTTAGGTATAATCTTATAAACCAGATGTGCTGCAGTACTCAGGCAAAAATGTAGTGTTTGGAAGAATTTTAGCCTTAACTGTTAGTTTCCACTTTTGTGGGTTTAGGTCAAGCTCTTAATGTTACTCTCATATAATCTGTAATTTTCTTTTATGCCCACGAACAAATTACAGTATAGCCTTGGGAGGGTTAAGAAATTCCTGATCTCTATAGGGCTTCATAGTTTTATTTATTTAAACTAAACATATGGGGAGTTAGTAAAGAAACTTTGTATTCATACAGAAATCATGTCTAAGAGAAAAATGACAAAATTGCTGGTGTACAAATATTCTCTACACTTTACCAAAAAGGAACATTTAATAACATCACACCTTACAAAACAGGCAAGGAATTAGCTTTATTTTTCTCCACCTGGCATAAGGTTTCTCTGTTTTTTTGTAGTCAAGTGCTAGGTACTCAAAAGGCAATCTTATGTCACAAATGCATTTCATTCCTCAAGGTAGGAGCTCAAAGTGAAAATGAGGTTTAGATTATTATACATTTCTAACTAAGCAGATGCGGAGATGCTGGGAGAAGGGAAGGGAAAAATCAAAATAATAAAAAAAGAGAGACAGGACAACATGAAAATAAAAAAGGGAGAAAAATGAAAAGTGAAAATCTTTCTCGAGCTTTATGGAACATACACAGGATGTCAGTACATAAAACAGGAATGCTGAGAGCTAAGCATACTGAAAGCCAGATCAATAAAATAAAACGGAGACTGCCTTGAAGCTAAATTAAAAAATGAGTAAAATCAAGTGTGGTATCAGTTCAATG